GCGGAGCGGCGCTGCCCGGGCCGCCCCGAGCCGCCGAGCGCAGCCGCGCCGGGACCACGGAGGGGCCGCAGCCCCGGCCCCCGTCCACTCTCCCCTGCCGCAGCTGGAGCCGGCGGGAGCTCGTGCCAGGGAGACACCCAGTGATGTCAGCGCGGCCCCGGGCCAGCGCCGGCGTCCCCGGGGCTGGGGCCGAGCCCCGCCGCCCTCAGCCGTGCTGCGCTCCGGCCCCGTGCAGCGCCAGGGCAGCCGCGAAGGGAACGAGGCAGCCCAGGGCTGCTGCCAGCGCTGCCACCGTGCCCCGGGGCAGCCCCTCTGCACCGTCACCATCACCGTCACTGCCACCAGCCTTGGTGCAGCCGCTGAAGTGGTCGGTGTGGAGCTGCATGAAGAAGGTGTCCAACACGGCGCTGGGCCAGGGGCAGCCCAGCACCTCTGCCAACAGCTCTGTGCAGTTGGAGAGGTCGCTGTAGATGCTGCGGGCAGAGGGGGTGATGCTGGCAAGGCAGATCGCCCCACTCTGGCCTCGAGCATGAGCTTGGCCTGGCTTGCAGCTAGCTCTGCCCGCAGGCCAGGCTGCAGCCACCAGCATGTGCTGGCTGTGAAGAACCGGGCACTCTGCGCGGCTCCGGGTGGAGAGCTCATGGGTGCTCACTGTGGCCAGCGACAGGCATTGCTTGCTGCTGGTGGAGACCAGACCCACCTGCCTACGTGGTCCTAGTGGTAGTGGGTGCCCTTGGAGATGGTGGCAATGGCAGCGTGGAAGGGGGCCCAGCAGTACAGGGAGATCCAGCCACGGTAGGTGTCGAGGCAGCGGCCCAGCCCTTCCAGAACCTCCAGCAGGCCTGGGGGGAGCCCAAGCATCGGTGTCGGGCTGGGCTTGGTGCTGCAGAGGATGACAGCTTCTACTCACCATCCTCGTCCAGGTAGATGTAGTAATCTGGAGGGATGGGTGGCACTGAGGTGGGGACAATTCCCCCAATTACAGTCCCCCAGGATGGTGCAGGTGCCAGGGCAGTGCTGCCCAGGCCCCACCGGAGCAAGAGGAGCAGGAAGCATCGGAGCAACGGTGACCAGAGCAGCATCCTCCCCTCCAGGGCATGCGTGCCAGTCCAGGGAGCAGTGGCTCCAGAGATTTATTGGTATCATGGGGGCTCACAGCCCCCACTGCCCGCACCAGAGCCAATGGTTGGGAAGGTTGGGAGGCAGCAGGGCTGTCCGAGTGGGCCTGACTCAGCAGGCACTGCTGCAAAGACATCAGATAAAGCTGCAAGGAGACTAAAGCTGCAAGGTCAGGACAGGAGGCCTGGGGGCTGCACTGCCACCAGGGGCACCAGCCCCGCCGGGGGCACCTGCACCGCGCGGCTTCATCTCCCCCAGTGCTGGCACCGCGTGCCTCCGGAGCACAGGGCTGCAGGAGGATGCAGTGGGGTGAGCGCGGTCCAGCCGGGCTGGGCTCCCTGCCCTCCCAGCCTGCCGGGAAGCCGCAGCCCCAGGCCCCGCACCCTGTGAGCCCTGCGCAGCTGCACGTTGGCCCCGGCCCCGGCGGGGGGACTGCGTGGCAACACCGGGGAGGGAACAGCCGGGGCAGCGCATGGAGAGAGCAGCCGAGGAGCCGCGGGGAAGGAAGGGGCCGGGCGGCGGGCGAGGCGCCAGCTCGGGGCGCGCTGGGTGGGGGGAGCCCGCGGAGCTGCCCCCGCCCGACGGCTCCTCGCGGCGCCCGTCCTGGCAGCCAGGCCCGGCCGGCGCTGCCGCCCCAAACAGCCGCTTCCTGCCCGGCGCCGCCGCAGGAAGCGCGGCCGCCCGGTGGGCGGCGGCCCAGCGCGGGGCGGGCGGCCCTGGGCCGGCAGCGGGTGCGGGGAGCCCGGGGCAGCCGGGGCGCTGCCCAGTGCGGGATCCGGGCAGAGGCTCCGCAGGACCCTGGGGCAGAGAGTGGCCCCGCCGGGCCGCACGGGCCGCACCGGGACAGGTCCCAGGACACTCCCTCGCGGGACTCCCCCCCCCGCAACCGGCACCGCGCGTGGGACCCGCCTCGGGGGACCCCGCTGCGCGACCCGCGGAAGAGACCACGCCCCCTCGGCAGAAGCCACACCCCCGCGGCGGAGCCCCGCCCCCAGCAATAGAAGCCCCGCCCAGCGCGGCACGGGGGCGTGGCTCAGTGGGGCGGGGCCGGAGGCCGCGCAGGCGCCGTGGCAGCCCCGTACCCCCCCCCCCGCGCGGCGCGATGGCTGAGGAGTGAGTGCGGGGCGGGGGCGGGGCCTGGGGGGCGCGGGCGGGG